TCTGTGTATGTGTTTATATGCTTTCCGAGCTCAACACGATGATCGGACGGGGCTCGATGACCGGACGGGGTCCGATGACAGGGCGGGGCCCGATGACTGGGCAGGGCCCACTATATGTTTGTTGTATATTTGGTATGTTGTATTTTGGGGGAACTCACTAAGCTTTGTGCTTATGGTTTTCAGTTTATGTTTCAGGTACCTCTGGTTCCAAGGGGAAGAGCTCGGGATGACTGCATCGCACACACCATTGGGATTTTGTTATGATGTTTTACTCTGATTTATGACAATTGATACACTGGTTTATTTCAAATGTTTGGATGATACGGAAAATTACTATTTTATCTAATATTTAATCGAATTTTTTTAGGACCATATTTTTGGATGTTTCACATTCAAAAGTATTTCAGAATAAAAAAAGTTATCAAAGTACAATCCAAAATCATATAGTTGCGGAAACATGGGTGGATGTGCTGCGATCAAGCTGGGCCCTTCCCTTTCGAACCAGAAGTACCTCAAACCATAACCATAAACTGTAAGCATAAAGCTTAGTGAGTTCCCCAAAATACCACATACCATACATACCACTGGGCTTAGCCCTCACATTGGGCGTAACCCACCATAATGGGCCTAACCTTCATACAATGGGCCCAACCCGACATACCAGACAAGAGTCACAAAGACAGCTAGTATCCTACATAACATACATTGGGCCTAGCCCTTCCTGATCCATGGGCCCAACCCAACATACGAATGTGCCTAGCCCGTTATACAATGGGCCTAGCCCAACATACCATGCAAGAGTCACAAATTCAACTATCATAACAGATCCTAGTGGGCCGACATTGGTGCCTTCGACCCACGGGTACAGCGAGGAGACTCACCTAAATCCAAGATAACTGAAACAGACGCGCTGCTGCAACCGAGATCCTCACACTGAACACTACCAAATTACCCCGATCAATAATTAAGACAATTCCAAAAATCTAAGGTCCAAATCCATATCCTATCCTTCCAATGGGTAAAAGACCATTTTACCCTTCCCATATCTGACCCAACATCTCATGGCGCAACTCCCAAAAAGAGGGTTTCATGAGTACGCCCCGCGTACTACACGCTGATGCTTAACGTAGAATCCGCCATGGCATGATATCAGGGAAAACATTCATTACGCTAAGCCTACGCATACGTATGCCCAACGTACTCCCTAGGCAACCAAATCCCACTTTAAGCACTTAGTGGTTAAGACCAAAGAGTCCAAACTTAGGTCTAATATCTAAAGGATGTCTTAAGTCATAAAGTTCCTAACTTTATGACTTTGCATGGCTTAATGGGGTCCAAACCAAAATCCAAGCTTCATAACTTCATCAAAAGACCACCAACTAATGCATGGAAGGAAAATAAGGACCAAGATCACATTTTTACGGTTCCAAGTAACTCCATGATGGATAAAGTTTCCAACTTTATCCATTAGAATGGTCCAAACTATCAAGATCTAGTTTTTATGTCTTAAAAGGTACCAAAAGTGCATATTTTCCAACTTAATCCATTAAGACCAAGTCTCAAGCCTTTAGATCTGAATCAATATGATGTTTAGATGGATAAAATTTCCAAATTTATCCATAACAAGGTCACAAAATTTCAAGATCTAAACTTTATGCACTAAAGTGACCAAAAGCTCATAACACCCACGACTAGCTAGATCTATCAAATACATCATCAAGATTCAAACTTTATACATTTAGAAGAATGATCAAGGTGAAAAAGTTTGGATCTACAAGCTCCAATGCAACCAACACTTCTCCAAAGAGCTCATTCTTCACCAAGATGCACCAAGAACACTCCAAAGCAATCAAGCACACGTTCTTTTGCTCAAAAGGCTCAAACTAGGGTTATAGTTTTCAAGGGAGGGTGTTGGGGAGGTGGAGGCTGAGAATGGAATGGGTTTGGGAGCTTAAATAAGGCTCAAACCATAAAAATAAGGTTTAGGCACTGATCGTGTACGCCCATCGTACTCCTGGTATGCCCAACGTACTCAGGGATGCCCTAGTACGCCCATCGTACTTCCTGTACTCCCAACGTACTAGACTAAGTCCAAAATCTTCCTAATTTCTAACGGTCATAACTTCTTCGCTCCAATTCCGTTTTTGATGATCTTTATATCCACGAAAAGGTATCGAGGACCTCTATAACCCTATTTAATTAATTTTGACTTAAAACACATCGAACTAAAATCCTTAATTCATAAAGAAGTCTAAAACACCGTTTTTCCCATTTTACCCTTGGGCTCCAAAGCACAAACTGAACTCTTGGATCACATAATCTACATTACCCTTATCCAAATGGGTCTAAAACCTCTCTTTCCCTAAAGGCCGAAGCCTTATGATACTTGATCTTCGGGTCACGGTCCCGAATTATGAAACGAATCGAAATAGGGTGTTACAACTCTCCCCCACTTAAATTAGATTTCGACCTCGAAATCACTCCTTGCTACTCTCCAGGCAATCAGGCAATCTGACCAACTTTTCCAGATCCCTGATGAAAGTCGACCCCAACATACGATGACCTTCCAATAATCGAACCCATCATTAGCAGAACTCGCATACTGACGGCGAACGTATGCCTGCTCCCACTAACCTTAATAAATGAAGGACATCATCACTACTCAGCTCAAATCTAGGAATACAATACCTTATCCGACTTCCTGACATGCAAAACCATTCCAAAATACTATCAATCGGACCTATCTCTGCAATTCGAACCAAAATAAATCCTTCCGGTCCTAAATCATCAAGCCGACACTTTTGGCTGACAGAATCCTAACCATACCTTGTTGTTGAAAAGATCTTTCATATAAACAAAGGCGACTCCTAACGCTAGTCTCAACCCCTTGTGTCAACTGGGAACATAACTCACATCCCGAAATCCAAAGATTTAAACTTGCATTCTTTCCGAAATCTTCCGATTCCACGACGACCTTCCACTAAACCGAGATATAAAATCCCCAATCCACCACGGAGACTGACAGTCTCATACCTGGTCCCACCATAAGGCTCCGACTAAGATTCTAACTAATAAGGGCTACCCTAGCCTAACCACCACGCGATTACCAACCACTGACCACAGATTCATCCCACCCTAAACGTGCTCCAATACCTTGCTCAAGCCAATTTCCACCGGGTCTCACCCACTCTATCACAACCAAACAGGCCTCGCCCACGGGTCTCACCCAATCTGCATAATCGAACAAGCCTCGCCTATGGGTCTCACCCAATCGAGTGCTATACATGTCCCACATTGCCTCAGATCCGACGATCCTCATACTAATCAAGGAGTGGTTCCCCCTCAATATTGTCTGCCTCAACCTAGGCATGTGTTGATCCTCCTTCAGCCTAATGACCACTCCTACAATGGCCTACCTCATTCTGGTGAATGCTACGACTACATCGCAGACTTACAACACTTCCCCGACAGCCTATTATCCTTGTGAATGCTACAACTACCCCGTAGTCTTACACCACTTCCACAACTGCCTATCAACCTTGTGAATGCTACGACTGCCCCGTAGTCTTACAATATTCCCATACTGCCATGAACCCACATCCGAATATACCCTAATCAGGTGTTTGGGTCATGCTTCGAACCCCAAAGCCTTCATCAGACAAGAACAGGAAGAGAGGCTCTAACACAACCCTCAACCTGGATCCAATCACACATTTGCTATGCGTTACTACGAATGCTCCAACTTATCGTTGAAAGTTCCTGAACTCCCAACCTCGTGCAACCACTATCCTGACTGCCACTTGAGCTGGCTTCCCTCCCGACTAGGGTGTAAAACTCTCCCTGGTTCCGCACCTGATTCTATCCCCGGACATCCAAACGGTTCTCCCCCACTTGGATACGACTACACCTTGCCAACCTTACTAAAATAACGAACAACAGATCCCCTTGCCGGAACTGACGGATCACCAATCCAACATCCCACTTACCGAAGGATCCATGCATTCTAACCCTCATCCAAATGAGTCTAAAACCTCTCTTTCCCCAAAACCCGAAGCCTTATGATATTTGATTTTCGGGTCATGGTCCCGAATTATGAAACGACTCAAAACAGAGTGTTATACTTGAAGATGTTAGAATTAGATGATATTTTTTTTACCACTAATCGACAAGGTATTCGTTATAATGTCCCTCTTTGTGGCATGAATATTAAGTTTGTTATGACCATGTAATAGATTTGTAATGTTCTTCTATCATTTTGTATCACTTTAATTTAAATAATGGAAATCAAAAGTACAATCATTAATGAAAATCATAATAAGTTACATATTAGTGTTCAAAATCACATTATATATTTTCTTCTATGTAACACATATATACTTGTGACTCTAGTAAGGTGAAACCAAACAGTCTCGATGTGAACTTAAAAATATTCAAAGTAATTTTCAATTAACTCTGTGACAATACCAATTATTGCAACTCTCTCTGGAACTGTTGCACCCGTCCTAAGTGTTTCTTAGATTCATTCTATTAAGTTGATGAAGTTTTGTATATCTTTAGACATTAAAATCATGAGCATCTACACATTACAAAGCGCTAGCTAAATCCGTATAACATAGCTAGCTATTTTGCGACATAGTGAATAGTGATGCTATTTTTGAAAAATAACAGAAAATCCATGATTTAATAAAATAAAATTATACAAGCTCGGTAGATAAGGCCTTTTCTAAAAGAGAAATTTGGAAATTTATTTTTATAGTATTAGTGATTACTTTGTAAAATTAATGATTATTTTATGATAGTGCTTAACCCGTGAAAGAACTATTTAACAAATAAGAAGGACGATATTTTAGAATATTTAAGGTTAAGGGCGGTCATTTGTAATTTACCCATTTTTAGTACGCACATTGCCACATTCAAATAAACTGTCCTCCATGTATATATGCAAACACCGCCTCACCATCCATGTATCCGTGCCACTTTTCATCAACCACTCTACTAAAATGCGCTGCCGCTCAGACGGCAGTCGCCGGTCAATGGCGCCACCGCTTCACACCCTATACCTACTCTTCTTCTTCTTCCTTCGTCTTTCTACGGCATGGCGCCCCTTGCCCCATATGAAAAACAACCTCACGGAGCTCGAATTCGGAGGCTATAAAAAGTACGAAGGGTCGTCGGAGTTCGTCAAATTAAAATATCACATGGGACCAGTTCTTACATCTAACATCACCGTACACATTATCTGGTACGGAACCTGGCCAAGCGCCCAGAAACGAATCATCCGCGAGTTCATCAACTCAATATCATCCGCCGACGACCACCGCTCGCCGTCTGTTTCTGGTTGGTGGAAAACCGTCCAGCTCTACACAGACCAAACCGGTTCCAACATCACCCGGTCGGTCCGGCTTGGGCAAGAGAAAAACGACCGGTTGTTATCTCATGGTAAAACCCTAACCCGTTTATCCATACAATCGGTGATAAAATCCGCCGTCACGGCGAAAACAAAACCCTTACCGATACATCCGAAAGGCGGTGTGTACCTTTTACTCACCGCCGATGACGTATACGTCGAGGATTTCTGCCAAAACGTCTGTGGGTTCCACTACTTTACATTCCCTTCGATTGTTGGGTACACGCTGCCGTACGCGTGGGTCGGAAATTCTGCAAAATTATGCCCAGGTATGTGTGCATACCCTTTCTCTGTACCTGATTATATTCCTGGTTTGAAACCTCTGAAATCTCCCAATGGTGAGGCGGCGATCGACGGGATGATTAGTGTGATAGCTCACGAGATTGCGGAGGTAGCTTCGAACCCGTTGGCGAACGCCTGGTACGCCGGTGAAGACCCGTCGTTTCCGGTGGAGATCGCCGATCTATGTGAGGGTATTTACGGGACCGGCGGTGGTGGGTCCTACACTGGGCAGATGTTGAACGATGAAGATGGTGCCACGTATAATATGCATGGGATCCGACGGAGGTTCTTGGTTCAGTGGGTGTGGAATCATGTGGTAAATTACTGTACTGGCCCGAATGCGCTTGATTGATTAAAGGAAAGAGGACGAAACCATGTTTCGCTGTTTATGGTGTACGGGGGCTTTTTAGACTTTTTGTACTTTTCTTCTTTGTTTTTTTATTTTATTTAAGTGCTTGTTAATCATTATTATTATCATTAATATATTATTAATGAAGTTAATTATAGTTTATGCTCTTTCTTGTCGCATTTGGTTTTCCCGCCATAACGTCAGAGGTAACGGTTTAAAGATACTAGTAGTTTATATTGTGTTTGGGGCTAGCTAAAAAAATTAGCTTTAAACTTTATAAACTAGTTTATTATAAAGCTAATTTATAAATTATTTTTGTTATCTTATCTAATATTAAATTACAATAAACTTAAAAAATAAATCAGTTTATATGTCCTATTATCTAAAAGTAATATTTGAAAGACATCAACATCGTAGCCTTTTTTATTTTTATAGAAAATGTGATATCGTTCTTTTCATAATTTAAATTATGTTTAATTTACTTATTTGTCTTGTTGTGCTAACACACCTTTCTTCACAAACCCTAGCCCTTGACTTGAGGCCTCGAATCCAATGTTGCCATCGTTCCCCTTGTTTAATGTGTTTCTTTAAGTTTAAAGTTTTATATTTTAACAGAAAAAAGTTTATGTTATTATTTTTTCATCACCACTCAAAGTTTATATTTTTATGTTTTCATCAAATTGAATGCTGAGTGACATATATACTTCAGAGTTCTTACAAAATTATGAGGTATCCCTAAATATTATCCATTGGGATAATGTCACATTATGGCAACCACCTATCATAATTTTAGATTTTAAATCCATAATTTAAATATAAGAATATATCATTTTTTTTTTCAGTTACACCATTTTAGACTTGGCCAATTAAATAGTTTTTCTGTCGTACGGCATCTTGGTGGAGCTAACATTATAAACCTAAACCTACACCAGATGTTAAAGTGTTGTCTGTTTTTCAAAAGGTAAAACGTCTATAGTTTGTGGATTAAATCTGCAGAAAAAAGTTATTGACTAAACGTATGTAGTTTGTAAGAAAAAATTGTTTGTTTTTTTAAGTCTAGGACTACATAAAAATTGAAACGTGAAAATTAAAGTAAAACATCATTTCGATAATTTCTTAGATAAATAATGACATTATCAAATTGAAAAAAATTTCATTCTTTCATTTACACAGTAAACACAAGTAAACACAAAGATTATCAAACACGATTAATGAATTATTATATTTGTAAACAAATTTGGGAAATATCACATTCCTTTTACACTTTGAACATTATGATTTAGCTTCCCATGTTGCTTTTGGGATTACTTTTTTTTTTTTACATAAAACAAAAAGAAACCAATGGCTTTTAGATTAAAGTAAACCAAATATTAGAGAAATCATATTTCTAATTTAAAATAGAGAAATGCTTCATAGGACCATATATATCTACTCATATATAATCCTTCACATTTATTTTCTTACTCCTATATATAATATATTATATGATGCCTCACCTGCATCACCAATATCCATATATAAATCAAAATTTACCAATCCCATGTACGCATATCATCTATAAAAACAAGCATACATAATGCTTCACAACACCATATACCATGTTCTTCAACATGTCAATGGAAACAAAATGCAAAAAACAGACTAATCAAACCAAAATACACCATAACTCCAAAAAAAAAAAAAAATGCAAGTATAAACTAATCAAACCAAATTACACCATAACTCCAAAAAATAATAAAATGCAAGCATAAACCAATCAAATCAAAATGCCCCTGAAGCCATTGCTATTTGTAGTGTTATGGTGCATTTTGGTTTGATTGGTCTATGTTTGCATTTTGTTGCCATTGGCGTATATGGTGTTGTGAAGCATTATGTAGGTTTGTTTTTATAGAAGTTATGCATACACGAGATTGGCAAATCTATTCTAATAAATGAAAGTTTTTTTGTCATATGTCACACTCTCATTCAATTTGCCAAATGTCATTTTGTGGTTATTTTGAATTTTTTTTTCACATGTCATTTTATGAGTTTTTCTATTTTATTAAATTCAACATAATATTTTAATGTAATAATTGCAATAAATGTAATAATAAATGGATATCAATTTCATTAATGAACGTACTTTTTAATTTCAAAATTCCCAAATTAATGCTCATTAGTTTTTTTGTTTATTTATTTAAATTATTTGTTTAAATTTAAAAGATAAAAAACATTTCAATTATAATAATTCATTATTTTTTTTATTTTCTTATAAATTCAAAGTTCTCAAACATTTTGACATTTATATTCATTTTTTTTAAAATTTTAAATTAACCCATGTATTAAATGGGTCTCACAACCAGTTTTGATTTATATATGGATGTTGGTGTTGTAGATGAGGCACCATATAATATATTTATATATAGGATTTAAAAAATAAATGTGAAGGATTGTATACGAATAGATAGATATGGTTTATTTGAGTGTGACTTGCCTCTCGATTTATTGAATCTTTCATGTAGATGGTGGAATTTTTTTGATGCCTATCTTTTTTTTTTCAAGATTCGATTGACACGGTTGATTCGTTGCACTTGACTTACGTCTGTAAGGAGTTTTTGGAGGCGGTTTCTACACTTTGTGGTGGTCTATTTGATGTTTTCAAAATTCTTTTCATTTTGGTAAAGTTAAGCCAAAAAAATATTTGTTGTTTGATAAAGTGACTTCTCAAAGTTATGGGTTAATAGTAGATGTCGAAAACTAGTGTCAATTAGATTGTCTAGTTACAAGATTCTATTTTGTCTATTTCTTCATATAATTATTTCTTTTGTCTAGCTTATTGCTAGCTTTCAATGATATCCCTTAACTTCTAAAAAAAAAAAAGATAGATAGATATCGTCATATGAAGTCTTTCTCTAGTTTTAAAAAAGAAATATGTTTTCTTTAATATGTGGTTTACTTTAATGTAAAAGCAATTGGTTTCTTTTTGTTTTATGTAAAAAAGGTAAACCCACGAGCAACATGGAAGCTAAATCATAATGTTAAAAGTGTTAAAGGAATTGGATATTTCTGAAATTTGTTTACAAATATAATAATTTATCAATAGTATTTGATAATCTTTGTGTTTACTGCGTAAATGAAAGTAAAATATATAATTTTTTTCCAATTTAACTATGTCATTGTTTATCTAAAAAATAACTGAAACGTGGTTATACTTTAGTTTTCATGTTACAATCATATTTTAGTTTTTAGTATGTAGACTTTGTAAAAACAAACAATTTTTTCTCTTGCAGGTTGCAGACATTTGGTCAGTCTCATCTTATGTAGATGTTCTTCGCAAACTGAAAGACGTTTTACCTTTTCAAAGGTGGTGTTTGTTTTTTCTGCAAATTTTATTGGCCTCTTTTGTGAGCACTACGCAGACCATGTATAAACATTAACTTTCGTAGATTGTTTGATTTTCTTAAGACTACAGACCTAAAAAGGTCTACGCGTCATCATCTTGGTGTAGATGTGGACCAGAGTCTTCCAACATCTTCATACATCTTATAGCCTAAAAAACACATATCTTTATTTTTTTTAAATAAAATTTAGATTTATTCCAACTTTATCTATGATAAACAAATTGGAAAAAAGAAGTTACAATACTTCAATAAAAAAGGTTCGACAACACAATCATGACTTTTGTTGACAAACTTATAAATAAAGATTTAATTACGATAATAGTCGTTAGAACTATTTATATAGATATGAAAAACAATCTTAATATTGTCTTATATTTTTTGTGCCAAATTTATAAAACATTATTTAATGCAACATCATCTCTTTATGGAACAAAAATTTATTGTCAGTTTTTAATTGATTTAATTAAAAAAAGGCAAAATAAAAATTTAGAAAATTTTCATTTTAAAATCTAAGTTTATTTTCATCCATTTTATGTGTTAAATTATTTGATCCCTAATTACAATCTTTAGGCATAACTTTGCAACCAAAACTTATTGGTTTTTATCAATATATACGTTAATTCGCACCATTTTATTTTCTTTTTTATACAATAATACATAGAATTTGATATAGATTTGTTAATTATTTATAATAAAGTCATAAAATATTGAAAAACTCTTTTAAATTAGTTCATTTAGATTTTAGTTTATTTTAGCAGCTTGCAGATGTTAAAAAAACAAACATTCTCATTCTTTTAGACTGCATACGTTTGGTCCAACTCTTCAGTTGCAGATATCTGCAGATGTGGTCTGCATGCTGCATACCTTTTGCCTTAGAAAAAACAAACAACACCTTATTATAAAAAGTCCATGTGGCGCCCATGGACTAACTATGGAATTTTTTTCCTAATTCCAACTTGAATGAGCATGCAACTAGGTCAATTGCAAGTTGCAAGTTGCGAAATTCCAAAATTAGTGGTCGGTATTATTTAAGCTCAACCTTTACAAATTCCACGCAACTTGATTATGAATTCTATGTACTTCTCACAACATTACTTGTAACACTCATGTCAGGTATGAATCATTTTTGTGTATGGTTTAAGTTTATTTTGGGTTTTCCCCCTCTGCGAAGTGGTGGTTGTAGCATCACGGCACGGTGTTGCCAAGTCACCACGATCTAGTGGTCATTTAAGAACCGCATCGCGGCGCCGCAATGCACATAAAACCCTAGGTTTCGGGCCTCCACCCTTAGACTCCATCACCCCATAAAGTCCCTAGCTAAACCCTAACCCCTTCTCCTTTGCTTTTTAGCCATTGTTTGGTTGTTTCACTTTTAAAGGAAGAAGACAGAGCCTTAGAAATCAAAGAAGCATCAAGCAAATCCACCTCAACATTTTGTGCATTATTTGGATTCTTGTAAGTCTCTAGAGTCAAATATTTGGGATTCTTTTCTTTGATAAACTGGAGTTCTAAGCAAGTTTAGCCATTTTGTGAGTTTTAAATGAGAGTTGGGAATAAAGTTTGCGACTTTATTAATCTATGGGGTCCTTAGAGCTTTATGTTTCAGATATGGACTTATAACTT